ATACCGCCACCTAACCTATTTCTGCCGCCAAACAGTAATGTGAACATTACTGTTTTATTTCATTAGCGTATGGATTATGGCCTAGGATTTGCCATTGCCATGCTAGAGAGTGGGTTGACAATTGCAGTGATGTGCCAACCTTAGTGAAAAAGAAGGTAATTGCTATTCATCTGGGTTTTTCCAATTATTAGGCGGAAATTCTGTGAATTGTATATATATGTAGATATACGGTTTCATAAATAAATAAGATTGTTTATCATTTGTTTATAGATTTTTTTACTAAAATGTATGGATTCGGACTTACATTAAAGTTATCTGGGATTAAAATTTATCTATTTTGGAAGGTATATATTGTATATTGTACCAGAAATGCACTTACAATCGACTTCAAAAAAGGAGCTGTTCTCAACTCGATTGAATATTTTTTGTATGTGTGTTACGCCATAATCTGTTAACCGATTTCGATGATTCTTTTTTTGTTGGAAAGAGGGTACCTCAGTAGCAGTCCCATTCATATTTAAAGAAAATATTCCACCAATAAGGGTGGCAAATAAGGGTACGAATCCGGTTTATTGAATTTCACCCATTTTACGTAAACCGATTTCAATAAAACTTGGCGAATAGATGTAATTGCAATGAAAATAAAATGCTATGGCGACCTAGAGCTGATCTAATGATGGAAATGGCAGACAGATGAGAGAAAATTCTCGACAGTGTACAGCATCTACTTTATGTTTGGGTTCGTTATGCGAGTATTACTGCGTTTCGGTTTGGAAGGGTGAGGACTTGTCAACTTATGTCTCAGGGTGACGGGTGCTGTGGCTGTGCCTCTAAGATCTTTGTGATTTAAAGCTTTGAGTAGTACTGCAACCGTTATGGATAGGCGTGTCACTTACCACCAGGCGCACGACTTGTTCGTCCCGCCATTTGCTGTTACAGAAAAAAAAACTTCCATATGCGGTTCAGTTATCATTGTCGTCAGTAGCCATCGCTTGTTGACGTCGGATCTCTGTCAAATATTCTCCGCCTGTTGTTATTTCATTCATATTAATTTTCAACGCGCGGATTGCGGGATAGATAGATAAAACGTTTTTTTTTATGTACAAACATACATACATAACAGAAAAGTATGTAATATTATAATAAAAAATCAGTGGAGTCGTACCACTGCCTAACACCCAGTTATGTATGTGTGCTGTAGCAGTGCAAAAAGTCCATAGCTCTAGCTAGATAGATAGATAAACATTTTATTCACTGATATAACACAAATACAGATTAAGCATAAAAGAAAAACCATAACATGATTGTCATAGCATTGAAAGGGCGCTGACTCAGCATATGCCAAATTTTCCTGAGGCGCTGGTTTTCAGTTAGGACCAACGAGAATTATTTGAAGGCAAAAATATAACGACTACGCGTAAAGTTATATTGAGAATAATAACATACATAGTAAAGTGTAAAGCAGTATTGTGGGCATTACTGAGTTCCGGTTTTGAAGGGTAAGGGTGCTGGTGAAATTACAGGCACATGTGACTTGTCAACTTTGTCTCAGGGTGATGGGCGCAGTGCCCCACAGATTTTTGTGATTTAAATATCTACTGTTATGGACAGGCGTGTCGCTTACCACCAGGCGCACGACTTGTTCGACCCATCACTTGGTATCATAAAAAAACACAAATCGAACAACTCAAGAAAAGTTTCTTCTATTTCACTGGGCTTGAACCAGCGTCTGTGGCCCACCCGGGGCCACCGCTCTTACCAACGGAGCTACAGGTCGAGTCAGCAGATCTTACGAATTTGTCTGTGTGCTTGTTACAGTTTTTTGTATTGAGTTTAAGAGCGCTTTCAAATTAGAAGCACTGCAGTGCACATTTCTGGTCTGCAAAAGTGGCGCTCTAAATACCTTTTTATTGACGTCATTGTCACTTGTGAGGCAGTTATAGATTTATATTACGAAAATGCTATTCATTGTCATTGCCGTAGTTTTTGCATCCTTTTTAAAACAATTATGTCACGTGACTGGCACGCATATACTCGATGCTGTCACGTGACGGTGACAACGACATCACAGCTTATGAGATACGTGTTTCCTTTTATAGACAAAAAATACATGGGGAATGTTGATGTGTGTACGTAATAATATATTCTAATGAATTTTTTAACTTGTTTATGCCTGACAAATTTACTAAATAATCAAAATGATTTTACTTGATATGCGATATAATAAAAAAGACAATATTTTTTTTACAATATCTAGTGAGGGGACGAACAAGTCGTGCAGTTGTAGTGTTACTCAGAGCTTTAAATCGCAAAGATCGGAGAGGCAGTGCCACTGCGCCTGTCACACTGAGACATAAGTTGACACGTCTCTGTGACAGTAATTTCACCCTTCAAAAGCCGAACGCAGTAATGGGAGCACTACTGCTTGTCGGCAGAAATAGGTAAGGTGGCAGTACTTCCGTGGACTAACTTTTTCACGGAGGAGCTCTGCTGCTACTAAGCTAAAACAAATAAAACAAACGTCAAATTGTTGTATGAAGCTACAGAAGATTATGAAGTACATGTGAACAGAAACGATAATTAAAATACAATTAATGTTCTACAATATTCGCGAAAAACACAACAAAAAACAGGTAGGTACTCAATTATAAGCCTTTGTGAGCATTTTCTTCTGAATATCGATAACGTATGTGCTATAATTAAAAAAAAAAATTCAAATATTAGATCAGGAATAATAACCAACGTTCTTAACAAATAGCAGCCTTATTATTGTAGTAAATAGTAACATTATTATTGTGTCAAAAACAATATTTTATCTTTTTTGTTTTTACAATTAGAAAAAGTATTTGCCTTCGACATGCACCAGGCGCAGGTTGGTTATTGTAGTGACATATGCCAATGAGAGTGAAAAAGGAGGCAACTGTTTCGCATCTGCATTTTTCAACTCGTTCGTTGTTTTCATAGTTTTTAATTCGAATTTTGATAAAATTCTAAGTAGAGGTACATTGACCTACTAAAGGTGGAATTAATTTTACACAATCTTTTTAATTTTTACTCGACTTAAAAAAAAGGAGGAGGTTATTTTCGGTTGTATGTATGTTTTCAGATATCTCCGTCAATTGTAGATCAATTTTGAAAATTCTTTTATTGTTTGATAGGGTGCACTCTTGTAGTGATCCCATAGTCACCAAGTCAGAATTCAGATTCTGACTTGATTCAGATTCTGTGGTCAAAGGAAATCCTCAAATTTTGTAGGCATGTTCGTGTATTCACCAATTTTACTATAGATTCTATATCTGCTTTTGTTTCAAAGGGTACTCCAGGTGGCCCCTGATGCTGTTCTGGGTTCGTTTCAGCTAACACAAATTATTATCAAGAAATTACTGTCACCATGGCAACCAGAAAAGAAACTATAAAATGTATAAAGGTGTCCGTAACAGTCCCATTCAGAATCTGATGAGAGGATCCCATGGAAACCAAAAAAGCCGTTAGGCAAACTTTTGAGGGCGGTTTTTTTTTTCAATGAAAAAGTTACAATTATTACAATTTTAACTTTATAAACTGGATTTGCCGACACGCTAACATTTACGTACATAAGTTTAGTGCCAATAAACATAACATTGAAAATGTAATTTTAATTAAGAATAGTATTTTTTTTTATTAAAATTAGTGCAAACATGACATTAATTAATACAGAGAACAATAGTAAACTAGCTGTTCCTGACAATCGTCTTCTCAAAGTCACAAAATCATTTAGGGGCCAATATTTTTCTAAATAAGATTATAGTATAAGATTCAGGTTGATGTTCAAAATTTGCCATTTACGAGATTTAAACCTGTAGTGAAACAAAAACTTTATGGTAAAGGTTTATTATACAGCTTCTGCGTAGGTACCTGGATGGCAAAAATCCGTGTTAGTGTCCCGGTCAGCTCATGCAGGTATTCCCAATCAGAGATGTTCGAAATAAATTGCAATATTTACAAAAATGATAAATGTAGCGAAATAGGTAGCAGTACTTCCCTGGAATAACTCTGTCACATAGTGCTCTACTGCAAACATACAACTATGCATAGTGGATTTAGATCCGAAAAAAAGACCATTTGCTACGTGTAACAATCGCGAAAATCTAAGAGCTCATTGTTTAAATTTTGAACAATGTATAGATAAAAATAATATTAAATGGGTTAATAGGTTAATTATTAAGCAAGTAATAAACAATTGCTCATGGATATTCCAATTGATTTCTAGGTAATCTGTCTTATACTAAAATTATCTGAGATTAAAATTTATCTTTTGCAAAGGTGTATATAATAGCATGAGAAATGCACACATTTTAATTAGTTTGTGGTAGTAGGGAAGACAAGAAGTAACCATGCGTTTCGCCGTTGCCCTGCTTGCTTGTTTGGCCCTTGCCTTGGGTAAGAAAAACCGTAATATTATAATTATCTAATTCAACCTAAATACAACTAGAAATTCGTCAAATGGGTCATACGGAATAAGTTCTTTGGTTTCTTGAACAAATGGCATATATTTTTAAAATTCTTGACCAATATACTAATTCATTTATAATACTAATGAATTCTAGAATCTATCGCCTCTCAAGAAGAGACCTTGGGTTAGAATCTGAGCTCGCACCTCTGACTTTCTCGGTATGTCCGTGCGAAATTTGATTTGAAATTTACAATGAGGTTTTCAATAAAGGAATACATCATGGCGTAACCTGCACTTCGAAGAAAGTTCACAATCCTTGGAAAACGTGTGAAGTTCCCGACCCGCATTGGGCCGACGGATTATGGCCCAAACCCTCGCCAGAGAGGAGACCCGTGCTAAGCTGTGGGTCGTATAAATGAGTTGATGATGATTCAAACACATTATAGATCAATACATTTTATACTTATTGAAGAAGTTGAACTGCATTTTGCCAGCGGTTTATTGCTACGAAATAAAGCAAGTGAACCAATGTCTTGAAAATTAACAGTTCTCTTTATTATTTTTACAGCTGAAGTAGCTGGGCCACCTCCGGATCATTATGAACCACAAAGGATCGTTGGTGGATCATTGACTACCATCAACCAGTATCCATTTGGGGTCGCTTTGCTCTATTCTCAAGCCCAGACTACATTCTGGCAAAGTTGTGGTGGTTCTATCCTTAACCAGAGATCAGTACTGAGCGCTGCTCACTGCACCGTGGGGTATGTACTAAATCGAAATTTAGAATCTAAATCATATAACGTTAATGTGTTCGTTTGGAAGACAAGTTTCTCACATAATAAACTGAGAAATGATTAACAAATAATTGATATTTAAACGAAGATTTGTTTTAATTGTGTTATTCAGCCCATGTTAAACAGACTGCACATACCTTGGTGCACAATTCACATAGTACTTGTTTCTCTGAAAAGTAATGAATCCTACGTGCTAACTATATCAATCAATTGAGTTGCATCTTAAGTTGAAGTGTTTACTCGTGTGTCGTGATTGAGTAATAGGTATACGTGTGGAATTTCAAATCGATATCATTGTAGTACTCCAACTAATATTTATTATATTTTATTTTCATAGGACCGGCAATGTCCCCGGCAGATGGCGCAGTCGTGTAGGCTCTTCCTGGGCAAATAGCGGTGGCGCTGTTCATCTGACAGCCCAAATCATCAATCATCCCCAGTACAACCCTAATACTGAAAATAACGACATCACCATTTTGAGACTTAGCTCTAATATCCAGTATATTGGTGGCACCGTAGCGCCATCAAGCATTGCAGGTGCCAATTACAATCTTGGTGATAACCAGGTCGTGTGGGCCATCGGATGGGGACGCACTTCGGTAATTGCATATTTTTTTCAATTCGTTTCTTTGTTTTAGAACTAAAACCGTTAAACTTAATCTTTATTTATTTTTTGTGTAGAGTGGTGGTGCAGCTTCTGAGCAACTACGTCACGTTCAAATCTGGACAATCAACCAGGCGGTCTGCAGTCAACGATACGGCACTCGTGGTATCTCTATTACTGCCAACATGTTGTGCTCTGGCTGGTTGGACGTCGGCGGCCGTGACCAGTGCCAGGGTGATTCTGGTGGCCCGCTGCTGCACAACAATATCGTTGTTGGTGTCTGCTCTTTTGGACTTGGATGTGCTGATCCGTTCTTCCCTGGTGTGAATGCCCGCGTTTCTACTGCGTCTAACTGGATTCAGTCCAATGCTTAAGGCGTCTATAAATAATAAAGATTTATTTTATAAGCAGATACATCAAAGTTTTGTTTCCGAATAATTTCATGATTAGAATTTTTTTAAACCCATCATTAAGAAAATCTATCGATAAGAAGTTAAAAAGAATAAAATTTAACGGAGCACAGGACCTAGGTAAATAATCACTAATCAACTTATAAACAGAACGATACTTTTTATAATACCAGTGAGTATTTTAGTCAACATTTGGATTTTCTTCTATATTGTATAAGTAAAAAAATACTGTATAGGTAAATACAAATTTTTCTTTGGCATACAGAAGTTTTCTAAATCTGATAATTTTAATATTTAGTATTTATTTTTATTGAATATTATCATGTTTTTAGTAGCATGATATTCGTCTATTTTTTGTGAGAATATTTTGTAACTACGCTAGTGTGTAATTAATAAATATTGATTTAAAGATCGAATAAACATGAAGAAAAATTGCTTCAATCCGACTGTAGTCGGTCGTCGCAACGTGGCTACCGCTCTTACTAGCTGAGCTACGAATCGAGCAAGCAGATTTTACGACTTCTCTATGTGCTCGTTGCGGATCGTTGTATTGGGTGTAAAAGATTAATTTTTTTATAAAACAAAAAGTTTAACACTTTTTCAGTTGAGGTTTTCGCGATTGTTATACTCAGAAATTAAACTTTTTTTCGGTTTCTTAGGTTTTCGCCATTGTTACACTCAGGAAGTTAAACTTTTTTGTCGGTTTCTTAGGTTTTCGTGATTATTACTGTTGATGTTATTGTTGTTATATATGAAATTCAAGATTATACTATATTTGAACGTAAAATTTGATTCTCTACAGGTCAATAAAACCGTCGTTAAAATATTGTAAAAAACAACTAAAAGATGCATACTTAATTACTTAACTCAAAACGAGACACGTTTTATGTGAGCTAGTTCTGGCCAAAATAGTCCTTATTCTAAAATTAGAAATTATTTTTTCTTTTTAAATATGTATATTTGGCAAGTAGGAATTAACCTATACATAAATTAACACAGATCCTTCACGGGAAGCGAGTAATTCGGTTTTCGTCGATTTTGAGAAAATACACTTTTTGTGTTAATACACTATTGTATTAACAGTGCGACATACACGATTCAAATCCGAAAAAAATACTTTCATTTCCTATTTTTGCTACTTTACTGCATTACATCCTGGGGCAGTGCTCAAAAAACCACCCTGATAAACCTGGAAAGAGCGCAGAGAGCTGTTCTTAAAGTCATCAACTTCATCCTTTCGATTATCCAACCCGCAATTCCTAAACGAGTGCGATGATCTCTCGGTTCGGGAACTGTTTATCCAACAAATAATTTTGAGAAAGCACGCAAATACTCCATTTGATTTCATTACTTTTACCAACCACAGACGACTCGATACCTTTTCATCTCGTACACAACTCCACACAGCACACTCGCATAGATTCTTTTGCTTCCCTGGTACATTCCTTTACTTTAAATTAAATTCCTCTTAGCATTTTTCGCCATGAATAAAATAGAATGTAAAAAGATCGTCCAATTGTGGCTTAAGAGTAAAACTTACAACGAAACAGAGGGTATTGCTGGAAGTTGTTTCATAATTATTTTTATATAGGTAACCATTTATTTATAATTACTAATTATTTTATTTGTAAATATAGAAAATCTCTTTTTAAGCTGTAATATACAGAAATTTGCCCAAAACGATGCCTAAAATACAGGTACACATTTATTTAGTTGTATAGCTTTACTATGAAGAATGTATAATTTAGATTCCCTTCTTAATGCTTATTTTAGTGCTATAATAGCTTTTACTAGATTAAGTTATATTGAAAAAAAATATCTTTATCTTATCTTTATTTATTGTTACGTGTTGTTTTCTAATTTTTAGTAGCTATTTACGAACCAAATTTCATAATCTATCCAGACCTTCATCGTCATTACTGTGCGATGATATGTTTGTTTACAAATAACACGTCAGATTGACATCTCTAACTGGATGAGGTCGTAGAGAGGGTGGAACAGTTATCTTAAAGTCAATGTATATATGTAATGTATTGTTGACAGGGTTGCCATATGGAAAATAAGGAGTAAAGTCAATGGTGAAATGGTTTATAAATGAGCGCGTATGAACAAACGGGCTTTTGTGTGAGCGACTTTTTTATTTATTATGGTCAAAATCACAAGTAATACATAAGCTAACAAATAGAGATTTAATAAGTAACTAACGTTAACCACAGTTTACGTACACTGTTTTCAAATTTCAGTAAGTATTTACTCCTAATTCAGGGGTGGTACTGCCTACAAGAAATACCAACATTAAATCAAGAGTAGATACAGTAATATCATTATAAAAGTATACATAGATTGCTCCTCCAATAGACACAAAATAATTAGAAAAGTAAACAACTGCGTGACCGTTCACATTGAATTCAGTTGTAATCTGATTCGTGTTTTGTACTTTCGAAATAATATGAAAATAGATAAGCGAATTAATTTTCTATCTACGAAGGTTATATGTACATATAATATAATCTATTGGAGGTTTTGATATTAGAAGTTAATAAGTAAAATGGTTGCCATTCACGAACGCCATTACCTAACTTCCTCCGTAGCTGAACGCTACGAGGCTTACTATGCTGGACAGCGACGACGCAGATATCCCGGGCCGGGAGAAATATTTGTACGGCCCACAATTCTTTCTGTCGTGAGTTTGGATATAATTTCCCTCTCTCGTTAATTTTTCTCTCGTGAGGTTGTTGGTTTGTCTATATGGTGTATATCCGTGGCACCCGCGACACAGAGTTTCCCTAGTGTGAAGTTAGTGTGTGCGTTATTATTATTATAATCCCTGACTGAACGGGCCTTATGATGGAGGATTTCTCGCTCAACGTATCCCTCGCGGACGCTTGTACTAAAGTAGTTCTAGCTTATGTTGTTCAGTTTCAAGATTCTTCCAAAACGTTACCATTGTAGCGAGAGCTGTAACGGCGCGTACTCATAGTGATTGCAGTGTACAATGCCTTTCATCACACTTGCGAAGGGAAATTAGACTTTAAAATGTGATATTTTATGTATTCATAAAATACTTACAAAATTTTAAATATCTTAAAAAAATCGTACATACTTATAGAATAATAATTCATTTTTCAGCATTAATACTTTTTGTTTTGACTTTATTTATGAATGAGTTAAAAAATCCTTAAAACTTTAGTGTGCCTTGCATAAAAATCACATATTAAATAACGACGACCTACATATATACATTACTTTTAATAAACAAAATAAAAAACACTGCTTTTTAGCGCGAGGCGGCGGGTGGTGGTCGAATTAGCAGTTTTTCTGTGCCTTTTGTGTGTCACAGGAGCATAGGAATAAAAAAAATCCATTAGGCCGTATGATAAAAATACAGCCTATTTTTGCTGTACAAAATAATATGCTAAATTTATTGCTGAAAAATATTATTACTGTGATAATGTTATTGGGAGTCTTTCCGTTCCCAGTAACACTGCCAAATAGAAGGTAACAGAATTATATGAGTAGGAGCAGGGTTACGATTGTGACCGATGTCGTAATAGCGGTATTACGACAAAAAGGTTATCCCTTTTTTATTTTCGCAGACAACCATTTACGATTGGCACGGTGCAAAGCAAATTGCACGGCAGAATTAGGCGCACGTCATTTCAGTCGCGTAGTTTCTGCTAGATTTGTTCTTTGGTCTTGGTTTTTCCTTTGAGCTCAGCAGTCGTTTATATAAAATTAAACATCTACTCTGATATTGGGATAAGAACCTCACGTATTTAAGTTTTGTTTTTTATCATAGCTCTATAAATATTTTTTTCATGCACGTATTATTGTGTAGAGTGTATTGTAGTAATTGGTCATAGATATCGCTATTAGAAGAATCCCCAGGAAGCCTGCAACGGCTCCAACTGTTTGCTTCACGTTCGGCTTTAAGATCAGTGTCAAAAAGACAGAGGTCCTTGGACATACATGATCCCGAGACACTAACCCTTAAGTTTGGTGAGGATCTGTTCAAGTAGATGGATAAATTACGCTGTTTAAGGAGCACTACAACATTCTAGTATGACCTTAATACCGAAATTAATAGTAGGGTCGGTCTAGCTGCAGTATATGACAAACTGTTTTTCAAGGTCTTCTGCTCACATGACCTGAATTTGGCAAATTTCTTATATTCCTAAGGGCGCAAATTTGCACCTGCGGCGGCGGAACGTTCAGGACTCACATTCCACGATGGCTGCATCGAGTACATAACCAGAAATAGAGACAAAATAAGGGCCATCGGTCCCTGGTAACTGATCAGGCGAATGGGCCATATATCACTTTTAAATATTAACTCTCGTTTGCGCTGAAATCACAAATTAGAAAGCTGAAATAGCACAGCGCCAAGAACTGACCTGTATGTACGTCTCCGTATATTCGGAAAATGGGAGATAGTATGGTCACGTATCACTTATGGTGGAGGACAAATTGGCGAAACACATATTCTACTTTGAATTTGAGGAGGGTAAGCGGAGACGTGACGGTCAGCTCCTCAGGTATAAAGATGTTCAGAAGCGACATAATATGAGAAGATGCAACATTGAGCCAGGAATATTTGTAGCACCATATATGGTTCGAAACAGCGGAAAGCTCACCTTAATGATAATTGCGACTACATAAAGACCCGCTCACGTGCATGATCACGTGCTCTCAACGTGCATGAGGGATCTTTGAGCGCACTAGTGCCAACACAACTAGGACTTGAAGTAGTCGTCATAACCAGAAAAAAAGCCGATTGATGAATATGTCCTAATGATATGATTTTATCAGCGATATGTACCTGTAAAGTATCTGCATTAAATTACACGCTACATAATTTATAGTCTTATTTTAAAAAAGTTATTGTTGTCGCTTTATTCATTAGGTAACGTACTTTCGATATCAGTTTAAAGGTTTTTGATATCCATTATATTAAGGGAATAATCGCCTGGACACATACACTTAAAGATTACACCCTGTATGGTCCGCAAGGTTGTTAGCATTTTACAAATAACCCTATGTACAATAAATATATTCTAGAAATTGTATAGCTTGATGATGAATTTGAAAAATAAGTGTTTATACTCAAACGCTTCGATAGTAAATAACTTAATAAAATGTATTGTATTAAATGTGTTGCCCGCTTATGACCTTTGTTCTCACTGCCTTGGGTTGGCTGGAAGAGATCTCTTTTAGAGATAAGTCCACCTTTGCAAACCTTTTCTATAATAGATTTTTTCTGATGTATTTATTGGTGCAATAAAGAATAAATAATTGTCATTTGATACTTGAAACATCTAAGCAACAGAATGTTTTTACAATTACAATTTTTGCAATTGTCATGCTCGCAGTAGGGTTGCCAATTGTAGTAACGTGTATAAAAATTTTGTTGTACTATCAATCTAAAATTCTTGTGTCTAACGTGGGAACCCTACGATTAAAATTTTAATGAATGTTGATACAAAATGCAAAAATCGTATGATAATTATTAGTAGTTACTATGTAATCAGATTTAGATTAAAATTATCGAGCAGTAAAATTTATCTCTAGGTATATATAGTACGAGAAATGCATATTTCCTTTAGTTTGGGGTGAAAGGTAAATAATTGACCATGCTTTTCGCCGTCGCCTTAATTGCTTGTTGGGGCATTGTCTCGGGTAAGAAAAACTGTTATAATATAATTTTTAGATAAAAAACCTGCGAAAATGTAAAATTTTATATATAACTTGTTTAGCTTCTTGAATAAAGACCAATTACTGACCTTTTGTTACATTGTGATAGCATTTACTAATAAAATAGGTGTTTGATCACCATATTCATTAATTTATACATTTAAAATTTTATACATTCATTCATTCGTTATATTTTTAATTTACATAACAAACTCGACCCCACTTGAATTTGGTCCGCAAGGTGATATGTCGACCTATTCCACTAGTCCCTACTAGCTGTCCCCCTGGTGGGGACAAGTGGATTTTTTCCACACTTCCTTACTACACCGTCACAACCTAATGTCTGTGAATCATTGTCTTGAATAATATTAATTATTTTATAATTTCTGCAGCCACCGTAGCCGGACCCCCGCCAGGACCTTATGAATCACAAAGAATCATAGGTGGATCAGCGACCACCAACTACCAGTACATATTCACCGCCGCTTTGCTCTTTTCTCAAGCGGAGACTACATTCACTCAACAATGCGGTGGTTCCATCCTTAACCAGAGAACAATTCTCACCGCTGCTCATTGCTTCTCGTACGTATCGAACCTATGAAATATATGAATGTCAAAAGTTACAAATTTTTAACGAAATTTAGCTGCATACGATTACGTTCATTTAAAAGGAGTTTTATCCTATATACTAAGTAAATCAATCAATCAAGCGAATTCCATCTGAAATTTTCTTTTTTACACTGTAACTAACGATTTTATTTGCACAGCTCCGGCATGGTTGCTACCAGATGGCGCGCTCGTGTAGGCTCTTCCTGGGCAAATAGCGGTGGCTACGTCCATCTGTCGGCTGACATCATGAACTATCCCCAATATAATCCGAGTTACCATGACAATGATTTCTCCCTCTTAAGGCTTAGCTCCCTTATTCAGTATATAAGTGGTTCAGTGGGACCGGGGAGCATTGCGGGCTCCAACTACAATCTCGCTGACAACCAGATTGTGTGGGCAATTGGATGGGGAGAAACTTGGGTAAATATTTTTAAATTTTCATTACAATTTCAACTTTTTTTCTTTATTAATGGATTTGTGAATAACTCTGTTATTAATTTTTTGAGTTATTCTTGGTCTTTTTTTATATTTCTGCGGAATAGTAATATGCACCATTTGAAATTATTAGGTGGTCAAAGTTGTAGTGACATAGAATGATAAATAGTACTTTTATAACCAACAGTTTTGGACCTGAACATCCTTTGACTAATCTTTTTTTGTAGCCTGGTGGTTCAGCATCCGAACAGCTACGTCACGTTCAACTCTGGACAGTCAACCAGCAGGTTTGCGCACAACAATACGCTACTCAAGGTAGTGTTATTACCAATAGCATGCTGTGCGCTGGCTACTTGGACGTCGGTGGTCGCGGTCAGTGCGCGGGTGATGATGGCAGCCCACTGTTGCACAACAATGTCATTGTGGGTGTCTACTCTTGGGGATTAGGGTGTGGTGACCCCTATTACCCTAGTGTTAACGCTCGCATTACTTATGCTTCTAACTGGATCCAAGCTATGGCTTAAAGCACATATGGCACAGAAGAAACATAAATTTATTAAGTTATAAAAATACACAAATTTCCTGAATAAAGAATTTTTTAAAAGCAAATCTATTTTATTGTAACAAATTCAATAATTTCAAGAATTACATAATTAAAAATCTTTACAAATTTATTATAATTATAATATAATAATTATCAAAGAACGAACATTAAGAAAAATTCTTTCGATGCGGCTGGATTCGAACTAGCGCCTTCCAACAATTAGTGCTTGAAACTCTGCCAGCAAAGCCACGGAACAAACCAGCAGCCCTTACGAATTTTTGTATGTGTTTGTTGCAGATCTTTATTTTTGGTTTTAACGACTTTTTTGCCATAACGACGTTTTTTGCGTCACTCGTTGACTCGTGAGCTACGTAATTTCACCAGCACCCTTGCCCTTCAAAACCGGAACGCTCACATTAATGTTAGGCGGCAGAAATAGGTAAGGTGGCTGTACTTCCCAGGACAAACTCTTTCACAAGCAGCTCTACTGCTACTTTTATTTATATTTACGCACCTATAACATAAACAAGTCATTAAAAAAATCTACCACAGCAAACTTTTACGTCGTGTGCTCCAGTTACACATAACTACGTTGCCACCATCTCAAACTAGTTCGTGCACCTTCCAAAACACCTGCTCCACATCATTTTTTCAGCAACAGAGTGCATAATTGGAACATGCTACCGGAAATTGTTGTTTCTGCTGTCTCTGTTAATGTCTTCAAAAACAAGCTCGACAGCTAGCTACGAAAGTGTGAATTAGTGGTAAAAAAGTGAACTAAAACAAACGATATAAATTTCAACACTGTATGATGTATACATACCATCGAAAGCTGCTCGTCTATTATCAAATAAATAAATACGTAAATTAAATTTATTCGTGAGGCGAGTATTGTGTTTCCAACTTTCAATTATCGGCTTTCTTTCGCATGTATGTCCTAACAATGGCTAACAATATAAACATAATCCTTTTATTTTATTTTTAATTTTGGGTCACTTGACCGTTATCATAAATCCATAAAGCATATCGGCGTGCACGTACGAAAAATACATTAAATTTCAAATTCGTCATTCTTAATTGAGAACCCCAGGGTTAAAATTGTAAATAATGTTAACACAAAATGATTTAACTATGCGATAACTCTCACTAGTTACCGTGTAATCAGATTTAGATTAAAATTATCGAACAGTAAAATTTATCTATCCAGAGGTATAAATAGTACCAGAATAGCACAATTCTTTTAGTTTGGGGGAAAGGAAGAAAAAGAATTGACCATGCTTTTTGCCGTCACCTTGTTTGTTTGCTGGGGCATTGTCTCGGGTAAGAAACTATTATAATTATAAATTATCTAATTCAACCTGTAAAATTTTTATATTTGTAATGTAATGTTACATTTTTTCGATTGCCACTCGCTATTGGTCCGTAAACCTAAAACCTAATGTCTTGGAAAATATTTATTATTTTTAAAGCCAAAGTAGCCGGACCCCCTCCAGGACCTAATGAATCACAAAGAATCGTTGGTGGATCAGCGACCACCATCACCCAATACCCATTCGCAGCCGCTTTGCTCTACTCTCAAGCCCAGACCGTATTCACTCAACAATGCGGTGGTACCATCATTAACCAGAGAACAATTCTCACCGCTGCCCACTGCTTCTGGAAGTACGTATCAAACTAAAAAACTTCTCTTACACATGACTGTTTATTGAAAGATAAGTTACAAATTTTTAACGCAGTTTATTTGTTTGTGTATTACAGTTAGTTACAATATAAATAAAATATAAATAGGTACAATATTATAAAGTACAATTACGTTCATTTAAAAGGTATTTATCTGAAAAGAGCTATATGCTAAATAAAAAAAAATCAATCAGTCAAGTGGTATCTGAAATTTTCGTAAGCTCTTCCTTGCATCGCATTTGTGCGACATCCAGCTGGAATTCTAATTTAAATCTAATTGGTAAATATTTTCACACTCCAACTAACGATTTTGTTTTCACAGCACCGGCATGATTGTTTCTCGATGGCGCGCTCGTGTAGGCTCTTCCTGGGCACACAGTGGTGGCTCCATCCATACGCCGGGTGAAATTACGAACCACCCTCAATACAATCCTAGCTTCGAAGACAATGATTTCTCCCTTTTAAGGCTTAACACCTTCATCCAGTACCTTACTAATTCAGTGGGGCCGGCGAACATTGCGGCCGCCAATTACAATCTCGGTGACAATCAGATTGTGTGGGCAATTGGATGGGGAGACACTTGGGTAAATATTTTTCATGACAATTTCAACTTTTTTTCTTTATTAATCGTTTCCTAAATAACTCTGTTACTAATTTTAATGGTTATTTTTCCTCTATCTTTATAATTCCAGCTGAGTATTATGTACCATTTGTGACGACTGTTTGTCGGAAAGAGTAGTATCTTCTTAAACTGGTGGGCAAAGTAGTAGTGACTATAATACAAAATGATACAATGATAAACAGCACTTTTATAATGAACTACTACGGCCTGGGCGTTTTTAACCAATGTTTTCTTTTGTAGCTTGGTGTTCCTGGTGTAGATCAGCTACGTCACGTTCAAATCTGGACTGTCAATCAGGAGCTCTGCGCACAACGATACGCTACTCAAGGTCGCCGTATTACTAAGAGTATGTTGTGCATTGGCTACGTGAACGTCGGTGGTCGCGATCAGTGCACGGGTGATGATGGCAGCCCATTGCTGCACAACAATGTCGTTGTGGGTATCCGCTCTTGGGGAATCGGGTGTGGCGACCCCTATTACCCTGGTGTTAACTCCCGTGTTTCTGTTGCTTCTCACTGGATCGAAGCTATGACTTAAATCACCGATATGAATAAAGAAATTTTTAAAAGTAAATGTATTTATTTGTTTTTGAAGAATCACGTCACCAAAATCGTTAGAAATTAAATTAAATTCGCTTGATAAAAACGATAAGTATTCTATGATTTTGAAAAGCGATTCAGTTTAGTTAATATAGATTGTTTTGATCACGACACGAAGAATTCTCTTCGACAGTATGAAAAAAGAGTGAAGGTTTTTTAGCGTACTATATACTATACACCAGGTTTCAATTGAAAATCACTTGGCTTGTATATATTTAAACATAACATTGTTTTATGGATAATTTTGTTATTACTTGTTAAAACACAGAAAAATCAATTTTATTTGATAAAAAATATGTTTTTACTGAGTTATCAAATACAATATCGAATGAATTTCGACATCTTTAATGACTCGCTAGCTACCTTTAAAAATAATAACTTAACCTCCGGTTAAAAAAACCGACCTCAAAAGTCATTCATTCCCTGGTTTGCCACCTTTAGAGGTGAAACATTTTCTTTAAATTCAAATGGGACTACATCTGAGGTACCTTCTTTCCAACAAAAAAAAAATCATCAAAATTGGTTCACAAATGGCGGAGTTATCGCGTAACATACATACAAAAAAAACATACAGACGGATTGAGAACCTCCTCCTTTTTTTAAGTCGGTTAACAATAAAAAAAATTATTCAATGTTCTGACCGACTTGTTATGTACCAAATCATCATTTATTTATAATCTTATTCTAACGTCCTGATTGTATTTTACTTTTTCTTTTTTAACTGTACAGAAAATTGTAATTATAATTGTAACGAGTAATTAACTTTCATACATTCTTGAATCTGTATAGCTTGCTGTGTTCGCCAATATGTATAGTGTATACCTGCCTTTAAGCATTACAATAATACAATAAATAAATAAAGGTTACAACACCTATTATTTATTTATTGTAAAGTAACGCCTATGTACGTAGCAAACTAGAATATGCATTATGGTTTGGGTCAATATAAGACAAATACTTCATCATGGTTGCACGAATTCAGCGTCAATTTGCATGTTGGCTGTAGAGCTAACATAGAGGTACGTACTGCAGCCTCTATAACTTAATATATAGAGGCTGCAGTACGCGTATTACCCATACTTACCTTCACGCTTTGTTGTGTGGTGTAGTTAGAGCGCATTTGATCGACACGAATTTCATCGCGGAGTCCGCGTTGCCGCCGTGCAGCGACCCCGTGCGTCTAACTGTCATGGCTTGTTTGACTGTGTTTTAATTTAAATGAGCGTTCCGGGCACGCGGGCTAGCCTGGTTTGAATATGGTCTACGCGGCGGTCGCGCGGTAATTTTATTGAGAGGAATGTAAATGTTGATGCATAATAAATAGAATTCAGATTCGCTATTAATGAACATGAAGGCGTGGCAACTGGGCGGTCGCAAACTTTCTTCTCGTGTAACTGAGCGCTTAGACACTTCGTCTCTTAGGCGAAAGATGCTTCTTCTGGCTCATTTCATTTCCTCGTTCCATTATAAGGTGGCAGCAAATATTTATTAGCATTATTGGTATTTTTTTATAATACCGAGTGGCAGGATGAACAAGTCGTGCACCTGGTGGTAAGCGACACGCCTATCCATTACAGTTACAGTGCCACTCAGACCTTTAAATCGCAAAGGTCTTAGGGGCACTACCACTGTGCTCGTCACCCTGCGTGCCTTACAGCTCAGCCACCAATGAGGAGATTTGGTAGTGGACTCAGAGTCACTAGCCTCTCGAAGAACCGGATGAAGTCAAGTATGTCATCATTGTAATGTCTAAGGTTGATCTGCTAGTCTCGCGCGTATACCTTGCGGTGATAAGGGTGCGGTGGCTCCTACGCACAGTACATACATATGAAGGGTAACTTGTAAATTATTAGAATTAGCATGGGAATATTAATTTAAAAATATATATAATTATCTGTTTATAACATATGAATGTGTTGGCTATTTAGCTGTAACTTTGCAATGTAAATAAATAAATAAAAGTCATAAATAAAATAATATTTTTAGTTAATTATGTTCTTCAGCACAGATTGGTTATGTTGATTTGCAAGCCGTGCACGTGATAATAATGTCTAGAAATTAAATTTAACTCTTGCACCACTTCCGCACTTACTGACAACATGATCATATTATGTGGTGTAACATGATACAAACACTGTATCTACGTAATGTAATAATTTAGTGGTTTTCTTTAGTGACAGTAATTCCGGTATTTTTTATTCACATCTACCATAAATATTTAAGAATCTATACTGCCGCATATTTGTATGCGTAGTTGTGCCTTTTTTCGTTACGAGGACAGTACAATTTACTTGATATTATGAAAACCGACTTCTGCAAACTTTTGTCCTTCTTACTCCAGTTTTTTTATGATGTCAAGCGGCCGGACGAATAAGTCGCATATCTGGTGGTAAGCGACATGCCCATTCATGACAATTGCAGTGCCACTTAGAGCTTTAAATCGCAAAGATCTGAGGGGCACTGCCACTGCGCCCGTCACCCTGAGATATAATTTGACAAGTCCCATGTGCTTGTAATTTCACCAGCAACCATACCCGCCGCAGAAATAGGAGTAGTTCTCTAGATGAACTCTTTCACAAGGAGCTCTAGTGCTACTAAGCCACAGATGTCTACGTAAATATAATTCGTTTTGTTAGGCGGGTATTGCGTTTGATTCAATCAATCTTCGATTTCCGATCGCATTTTTATCACTAAGACTGGCTTACAATATAATCTTTTTATTTTAATTAAAATCAAAGTTTATCAGTGATACACCGGTGGCATGCGTTCTAATTCTTGGTGCAGTCTACATTTTGAACTTAACACCGTTTTTACTATTACGACTAGTGGGTACTGTTGAATTGAAATCCTAATGTCCCATAAAGTTTACTAAAAGCCTACTTCCTCATTTATATTAGGGGTTAAAGTATGAAATTGCCGTTTTATTGCAATAGGTTCTTTGAATTTTCATAGAATCTTCATGGTTTGAGGTTTTCGAATGAAACTTTTTTCAAATGGTTTCTGTGATTTTTTTTTTTTAATTTGAAACATTTGAATATCGACTTTCAATTGTTTTTGTTATTCAATTTAGACAAGAAAGATGGATACTGCGAAAATTCGAGTGATTTTTGAATACGAGTTCCGACGCGGAACTAACGCGGCAGAAACAGCCCGCAATATCAATGCTGCGTTTGGAGAGGGGTCTACTAATGAACGCACCGTGCGATTTTGGTTTAAACGCTTTCGTGATGGAAATTTCGACTTAAAGAACGAGTCACGAGGAAGACCGCCCACACAGGTGAATAACGATGAATTAAGAGAGATAGTGGAAGCCGATCCTAGTCAAACTACCCAGGAATTAGCGGCATGGTTTAACGTTACCTTACCCACAATATTGACTCACTTGCGTCAAATCAATAAAATAAAAAAATACGAAAAATGGGTGCCTCATGATTTGACTGATCTGCAGAAAGAAACGCGTGTTGAAACTTGTGTTGCCTTGTTGAACCGGTACAGAAATGAAGGAATATTGGATCGAATTGTAACATGTGATGAAAAGTGGATTCTTTATGATAACCGGAAAAGCAAAATGCAATGGCTGACCCCAGGTCAAATGCCACAACAGTGTCCTAAAGCAAAACTTACCAATAAAAAGGTAATGGTAACTGTTTGGTGGTCTCAGCATGGTGTTATTCACTATAGTTTTCTCCGATCTGGTCAAGCAATAACGGCAGATGTCTATTGTGCCGAACTCCGAACCATGTTGACAAAACTAGCAGTAAAACAGCCCCGACTCATGAATCGATCTTCACCATTATTGCTCCACGACAACGCGAGACCTCACACAGCACGAGAAACCATTTTGACCCTTCAGGAACTGCAGTTAGAAACCATTCGTCATCCTCCGTATTCACCAGACCTTGCTCCAACGGACTACCATTTTTTTCGTGATTTGGACAATTATCTACGTGACAAGAAGTTTTCTTCCCAGGAGGCAGTACAAAATACTTTCACACAGTTTGTGCAGTCTAGATCGTCGGAGTTCTATCGCAAAGGCATTAATAACCTTCCCATTAGATGGCAGCAATGTATAGATAATAATGGCAACTATTTTGATTAAATAAATTTGTTAAAAATTTAAAAAATAAACAATTTAGATTTTCAGTACAAATCGGCAATTTCATACTTTAACCGCTATTATTTTCTTCCGTTTATTAGTTCGGATTCTTGTTTTTGTCGAGTTCTGATTGTTGTTAAACAATGTTTTACTTGCTGAACAAGAAACGGTATTACATATAAACAGCGAAATGACCTGCGGGACCACTCCGTTCAGTATCACTTTGAATGTACAGCTATTGAGATTACCTATTGTAAATTGATTATAATTTCGCTATACAGGACTGGAAAGGGCAATATTGACATTTATATGGAAAAATTGGAATTATTATTGAATAAGCTCATTGACGAAAAGCAAAGGTTTCTTCTAGTTGGTGATCAAAATGTAGATTATTTATCTGACAATAGTTTGAGACGGCGGGTCGACGACGTACTAAGTAGTTATGGGTGCTTTAATATAGTTTCCTTTCCCACTCGCGTGACTGCTGACTGTGCGTCGTCCATCGATTGCGGTATAACAAACCGCGGTCATGAATGCCTTACCGTATCACCGGTGGATACTGCTATTAGCGACCATAGCGCACAGCGATATGAATTTGCAATTAAACACAGAGGAAAGGAAAACAAAACAAATCAGCAGCTTATCGAACGTCGTTGTTTTACAAACGAATCTATCTATTTATTTTATTGTGACATTTGTAACTATGATTTTAATTTTATTTATGACAACACTATAGATATTAACAGTAAATTTGATAAATTATTTAATATTTTGGCATATTACATTGACATACATTTTAAGGTTAAAACATTTAAATTTCGGAATAATGTGACAACTACGCCGTGGGTAAATG